AGCCAAAAGAACATACTGGAACACTTTCCACTCAGAACAAGGCAGCCAAAATAACCCACTGGAACACTTCCCACTCGGAACACAATCCCAAATACCCAATGGACCTTCTTAGATGAAAGAAACAGATCACTGTACTTGCACTGTCAAGTGAATACATCAAACAGACATTACAGATTTGAGCAGGAATAGAGAAAAAAAACTATGTAACAACTTAAATAATGCGGATACAAACAATACATTGCACAATTTATTGCCAGGCATATTTCGCTGTATCTCATCAGGTGCGTTACTACAGAGTTACATCAACATAAAATAAAGCACAAAACTGAATAAATTCAACTGAAATGCGAATAGTTTCTTCGATACATTGTCTCTGTTTCATGGCCGCCGGAAGCTCACCGTAGTCACATGACTTACCAGGGTAACTTCAAATTTAAATTCCGTCTGCTTACAAAGGAAGGGGGTTGTATTGTTAAGGCAATAAATTGTGCAATGTATTGTTCGTATACGCATTATTTAAATTCATTACGGGAAAACACTGTTTTGAATATGTAACAACTGTTTTTGCAAAACAGAGTTCAGCAAATACCTACTCACTAATTTAGCTGAAGCAAAACAGATTTAACACTGATTCCACTTTTAACACAGAACAAGATTAAAGTTGGATAAGCATTTTCTAAAACCCCATTCAAGAATTTTCCTAAAATTTTTACTGAATAAAATTGTCCAAATCCTAAATGAAATATCCTCCTCAAATTTGTAACATAAATATAACCGGCACATCCTCAATGAAAAATTTTTCTCAGAACTTCTCAGAAATTGTTCCTCCTAAACCGTCATGGAAAATTATCCCTCAAATCCTGAACTACATTTAAGTTATGTCTAAAGTTCATGTGATGATGATGATGATGCACGTATGAATGTGTCACAGCCAATCAGAACAAACATCAGTCCTATGATTTCCTATACACAAGACACGCTGTACTAAAACTATCCTGAACTAGGAATATTTCACTCAAATCTTTAATAATATCTACTACTTAAATACTAATTTAGATCACTTTAACTTATTTCTATTACCCAAATACAAATTTAGAACAATTTCACCTATGTCTATTACTCAAATACTAATTTAGAACAAATTCACACATTTATATTAACTCAAATACTAATTTAGAATAATTTCACATATTTATATTACTCAAATGCTAATTAAGAACAATTTCACCTATTTCTATCACTCAAATACTAATTTAACATAATTTCACCAGTTTCACTGAGGTCTACTAGTCACATTCTAGTTTTTAAAGTATTTCACGTACAGAACATGTAGGATGATGATAAATATAGACACAGAAATACGATTTTAACCACTGAAAAAAAAAATGCTTATTTTGTAAGGCCACGTATTCTCCAGTCTTAACATTTCTATTTGAAGGACACACTATACCAATAAATATACTTAACAAAGCATGTAAATACAATATGAGTTTGACATATAAGACAAAGACGCACAAAAGGACTTCGATGTCTTCACAACAACAAATACTCTGAATATTTTTTGAGCATGCATTAGTGCAGAACTGAAATGCCAATGTATGAAAATGCTTCACAATTAAACAGCAAGAAACCCAAAGATGAGATTTCCAAGGATGAACAAACATTTTTTTTTTTTTAAATTGTGTAGTCTGCAAAAAATCATACAGACTTAAAATTCTGCAAGAAAAATACAGTCTACACATGAATGGGGTTTTAACCCAGGTTAAGTAAGGACCCCAAGGGTTTGTAATTGGCTACAACATTTTAACAGCGTGTGGAAGTTAGACACGTAAGCATGTCTCATACTACTCCCATTTAGTTAATGATATCACTGAAATCTCAAGGCTAAATGTTTAGTATTATATTAACTTCTTATAATGTATTTGTTGCAAATACTCAAAATATGTTCAAAATGTTTAGAATGTCACAAACGTTGAATGTCAAGGCTCCATTGTATAACAGCAATGGAGACTTCCACGGAAGTCAAAAGGAGGATGGCCATAGCAAAGCAAAGGTTGAACAGTATTACAGCAATGGAGACTTCCACGGAAGTCAAAAGGAGGATGGCCATAGCAAAGCAAAGGTTGAACAGTATAACACATTTATAACTATACACCAGCAAATGTTCTCAGAACATCACTGAACAAAGAAGAGAAGAAATATTGACATTCTAAAAGATAAAGCAGCAAGGAAGGTTAGTCAATCTTCCATTAGTAAGTATTTTTAGATCATAAAAATTCAATTTTGTAGATCTTATTATACTGTAAAATAACAGAACATTAACAAGAGCTAATCTCTAATGCTGCATAAAAAAGGTATAGATTTCTATAATACACAACATTACTTGGGTGTTTCTGTTGGGCACTTTCTGACCTGTGTTGTTACATTGTCCCAGTTCACTAAAACCGGGTTCATTGTGCACACCAAAGAGGAACATTTTAGCCGCAAGAGTATTATGAAAAAGCTGTGTGTAAACAATGACAACACCTAGAGCATCAATGGTGCATGAAAAGAGACAAAAAAACAAAACATACTTACTAAGCTTTCTTATCTACAAAACAGGAGGTGAAACATAAATTAACTTTGGTTCAGTACAGATTCTCAGCAATTGTTCAGTACAAGGCTCGACTATGCAGACAATATGAATAAATAAGATAAATTAAAAAAAAAAAATTATTTAAACATACTGAGAGAAAAGATTCTAGCCATGGTAATATTTGAATTGGACTCGTGGGCCATTTCAGCACGAATGACAAATTTAAAAAAAAGGCTTTTTAACTTGAAAATACTACAGGGAACAGCCAGGACAGAGAAATATGTCAAAGCTTCTATAAAATATTTCCCAAATATGACGAAAGATCAACATCAGACAGATTGAAAGAACTGTTACCTAAGGTATAGTTGAAGGCAAGCAGCAAAGAGGCAGACCTCAACATTCTGGATTCCTTGCAGAAAACTGTCCCCCAAGATACAGCTGAAGGCACGCTACAAAGAAACAAACCTCAAATCCTGGGTTTATAGGGTTAAAGAACTCTTCTTCTTCTTCTTCGCGTTCACCAGCTGTACACTCTGGCGGAAAGTTCTGGTTGCTCGTCCACTACTGAACTGCAGTCCTGCTCCAGAACCTGAGTGCTGCGTGTGCATCAGTTTTACAGATCTCATTCTCTTGAATACAGACTGTTGGTTCCTTGCCTCTCCGGCAGATGCACTCCGACTTCAAAGGAAGCTCCCCAATTAGTCGACTCTTACGACATGCTTTTGGGTAGGCAGTGGGTCTATTCTTGTTTTCCCCGCAATGGGGCCCCGGAACCCACACGGGGGGGTTAAAGAACTGAAGTATTAACTCTTTTGGTCCCAAATAACCCACTACGGGTACCAGATATTACTAACCTGCATCAGTCAACATGTTTTGCATATCTGTACATCTTGAGTTCAGTCAGGCAACCCAAATCTATCCAGTAATACAAGTCACCCACAATGTTTTGTGTATTTGGATCCTGTGGGTGCTGTGTACCTATGCTTTGTTGTAATCATTATTGCTTAAATCAGGCATCAGCTATAACCTTTTGGAACCGAAATAGTTTTAATTTGGCTGAAAATAAATACAGTGAATGACCCTAGCAATGATGCTATTGGACCAAAATTATTCACAGCAGAAGGGACTACACGTCTGCAAACAAAATATAGCAATTCAATTGAGTGCATAGAAATAATTAATGCACACCATATCAAAAACTATCAAGGAATTATTGAAAAGACCAATCAAGTCAAAACAAACAATTATCATTTTAGCAAAGTTAAAACCATGAAAATTCTACCATGCAAAATTGGCAACGCCTCTGCCACTACAATCACCTGCCTCTGCCACTACAATCGCCTGCCTCTGCCATTAAAATCGCTTTCTTTGCCACTACAAATGCCTGCCTCAGCCACCACAATCGCCTGTCTCTGCCACTGAAATCGCCTGTCTGAGTGTCTCTGCCACTACAATCACCTGCCTCTGCCACTACAATTGCCTGCCTCTGCTACTACAATTACCAGCCATAAGAGTCAAAACAAACCTACTGTAATAACTATATATGATAAAACCAAGTCCTTAATGAAAGAAAACCTACTTTTTAAACAAAAAGAAAGATATTATGTCCGCATGCAAAAATACAGAAATTATACAAGAAATCTAAAAAGGATCAGTCCACTCGGGATCACTCAAGTATTAATGAAAACATACTGACATGTGTTTTCTACATTTCGTACACCAGAACGCATGCGTCTGTTTAATTTGCTGCAAAATTCTGACATGTGGGCCCCTTTGGTGCCGTGTTCTCAGTTACATTAAAAAGCTAAGGCTCTGTTTTGTTTGCAGTTCTAAATTCTGTTCATCGTTATCAGCTTGGAAATGTTAGGGGAAATACAAGTCCAATTCAGGTATTTAGATCAAATCTACTGCACGCTAAAGTTAAAATGCAACTGTCCAAAGAAAACTTTACAAGCGAGGCAAAGAAAGACAGAAAAAAGAGATATGTGGAAATGTGTTAGGAGCTGGATACATGATCAGTTCTGGTTAAACCAAATAATAACTAAAGAAATATAATGAACGCAGGGCAAAGGAAAGACTACGCTCAAATCAGAGTGATGGCATCAATAAGAATGTTAGAGAATTAAAGACTAATTTACATAGCACTTTTGAAAGACTGATGACCATTACAATTTCCCTCAACACTGTAACTGGAGGGAGGAGGAGAGGAAGGAGGAGAAGTAGAAAAAGAAAGAAAGAAAATGGACAAGTTGAACAACAAGGCAAGAAAAAAACAAAGCCTACTTTATAAAGTCTCATGTTCTGGTGTTGCTGTAGTTTCTGCCAATAGTTCTGTTCAGACACAGAGCTGGGGGTTATCTTGAAAGCAATACTTAAAAGCAAATTTAATGAAAGATCATTCTGGAAGAACCTGGTAAAACATCTATCACAATTTGGTATCTTCTGACTCTTTACAGACCGGGGGTGGAGGTGGGGGTGGAGTGGGTCGTGGACGTAGACTAGTTTGACGGCCAAGTGTGTACGATGAACCAGGGGGAACCACATTCTGAATATTTGCAGCAGAGTTCACAGAATCGAACCCAGCACCTTCACTATCATCCTGACCGCCCTCTGCAATACTATAAGATGATAAACTACCTGCATTTGGGATACCAGTAATGACACTGCTGTCGAAAGTTCCAACCTTCTGGGTAAATGCTGCACCGGCGGACACTGACCTCTGGTGACCTCTCACGGCAACTGGCGGTGGATTTAATGAAGGTGGAACTCGAGGTCTGTCTGGTGGTGCCTGTTCCGGTCGATGAGGCGGCTGAACTGGAGGTTTTTCTGTTTGATTGCCCGGTAATTTCTGCTTGTGTTTTTCCTGAGAACCTGGAATCTTTGGCTGCTCTGTTGGAGATTCTGGAGAAGCCAGAGGCGCGCTTCTTGGCCAGGTCTGAAACTGGTTGCCATTTCCATTCTTGGCAGCATCACCATTACTGCTTCCACTGCTGGAGACACTGTTTGTGCTACTGCCGAACTTCATCGCTGCTGCGGTCGTTGCTGTGACATTCACGGTGTATGGTCTTTCAGGAGGTGGTGGAGGAGCTGGTTTCCGAGTTGCCCGCCTCTGCAGAGGAGTGGAGTCAGGGCTGTTGAGGAAAAAAAAATATATAAATGTCTAGTCAACATCAGAAGACAGATTTTTGCTCTATCATTATTTGCATGTCAGCTCTAGTGGAGAAGTTGGGGGAGGGGGGGGACGCAAAGGGAAACAGAGAGAGAGAGAGAAGATGGTGGTCAGTCTGACATCCTGACAGGGACGATCATCTGTGTCAGAACTGATTGAAAGTTCATGAGACAGAAGGTTGTGGATAGACATGAATACCAACACCACACGACATGGACTATGGAAGATCTACTGTGTCAGAAATGACTGAAAGTACACGAGACAGAAGGTTGTGGACGCACATGATTACCAACACCACACAGCATGTACCATGGAAGGTTATCTGTGTCAGAACTGACTGAAAGTACACGAGACAGAAGGCTGTGGACACACGTGACTACCAACACCACACAGCATGTAGCATGGAAGATCTACTGTGTCAGAACTGACTGAAAGTACACGAGACAGAAGGTTGTGGACACACATGACTACCAACACCACACAGCAGGTACCACGGAAGATCTACTGTGTCAGAACAAACTGAAAGTACATGAGACAGAAGGCTGTGGACACACATGACTACCAACACCACACAGCATGTAGCATGGAAGATCTACTGTGTCAGAACTGACTGAAAGTACACGAGACATTTGGTTGAGGACACACATGACTACCAACACCACACAGCAGGTACCACGGAAGATCTACTGTGTCAGAACAAACTGAAAGTACATGAGACAGAAGGCTGTGGACACACATGACTACCAACACCACACAGCATGTACCATGGAAGATCTACTGTGTCAGAACAAACTGAAAGTACATGAGACAGAAGGTTGAGGACACACATCACTACCAACACCACACAGCAGGTACCACGGAAGATCTACTGTGTCAGAACAAACTGAAAGTACATGAGACAGAAGGTTGTGGACACACATGACTACCAACACCACACAGCATGGACAAGGAAAAGCAGCAGCTCTGATTATCTCCTTAATCCTCCACAAAGATGTGTCCGTCACATATGACAATCTGTAAAGCAGACCTGGGGAATATCCGACCTGCAGGTAGTAAGAAATACCATAAGAACTATTTGGTTAGGCACTACCAAGGCAACCACAATAAAATGTTTGACCAAGTAAGATCATCATCATCACTTTCCTTCTTTACGCGCATTAGCGGTAAATTCCGTTAGAAAGTTCTGGTTATTCATCCATTTCTGGTTTTGTTTCAGAAACTGAATTTTTTTTTTTTGGACAACCAGTTTATAGATATGGCTATTTTGTTTGCAGAATCCTGCTTCCTTGCCTCTCAGGCAGATGCACTCCGACTTTGAAAGAAAAACCCTGTCTGCCTGTTCATTTCCCAACACACTGGCATACTTAGAGAAAATATCCAAAGGACGCTAACTACCCAGGACCTCCGAAACGATGCTTGCCACTCTGTGCAGAGCCTGTCTGTCTCCCCCTTTCTCAATATGCTCTGCAAGTCAGTTACAGTGATGACACATGTGTACAGCTGGTTCTCAAGCCTGCAGTGACTGCCTCCACCTCCATTCTCAAACTAGACTTTGTGGTATCATATGCCAGGCTTTGGTGCCCAAATTGACGTTCATTCGCTTTTGTTATGAACCCCCATGCACTTCATCTGCCCCTCAACACTCGCACGCACACACAGGAGTGAGAGAGATGGAGACTAGAGACAGAGAGAGAGAGTAAAGATAACACAGCCTACCTTTCTTCAAGCACAGGCTGACTATTAGATAATTGCCTAGAAGTTCCAGGGGAGGCACTGGGACTTGGAGGCGGTGCTGAATTCTGGGTTGACTGTTGAACCGGTGATGCCTACAAAAAAGAAATGCCAGTCATCTTACAGCCCTTTTACATTGTTACCAAGACACGGTCTTGTTTAGCTTCTGCTGACATTTAGTGAAGTATTAAAGACTACTATCACAGTCATACAATAAAATTAAAAACAAAAACAGATGAGATGGTGTAGTCCCCTGATGAGAAACAATGTCCTAGTACCATATATCATGAACACTGACTAAGAGAAAGACAATGCAAAACATGGAAGAAGCATCAAGAACAACCAAAAAGAAACGAATATCAACTTATACAACACATTACATATAAAGAACACACAGAAGTTTCTGACATAAACTGACCATCAGCATTCTCCATAAATGATGAAGTGAACAAAGGTCTGTAAAAACAAATCTACCTGAACATCGTGAGGCTCTATGTTGTTCTGTGGCTTGTCAGAAAGCACCGGCACCCCTTCCTGACTATCTTCGTACGAATACACAAGGTTGAAGTCCAATTCTGCAATAAGAAATCAAAAATGTACTTGTCTGATTAAACACATGAAGACGTATGTTATCAAAGATGGATGGCGACACTGGTGACAATCTACAGGGTAAGATTCTTAAAGGAGAAGGTTATATAAGATTGCAGACAAATGGCATTGCTAAAATAAAAATACAAATGGACAACTGGAAATGGCACAAGCTCTGTAACAACAACTGTAAAGTGATTTACTGCCTGCCATATTTTGCTGTATTTCATATGTGATATTATTATAATAAAACAAAATATAAAATAAATTAATATTTTCAACAGCAGTACAAAAATGCACCACAATCAAAATATAACTGCCAGTTTTGCCAGGGTAAATGCAAGTTGAAAACCATGTCCTTTTTGTCTACACAAAATTGGATGGGATAGAGAGTGTTCCTTGAGCATGTGATGTGAAGACAGGTACTAGAGAAGAATATGCTGACTGGAAAGATTAGCGATAGAAGAGGCAGATGAAAATACATGATCCTGGAAAGTCTAAGATGGTGGCAGGAAAGAATATCATCAACAGAATTGATTTATAGCACCAAGGACCATACCATGGTGTTGGTGCGTTGTCGTTGCAGGATGGTTTGTGTCCTCTAATGATTCTCAGAGCTATGCAAGTAGGCGGCTTGTGATCTTGACAGGTTTAACCATGTCGGACAGGTCTTGATAAGAAATGCCAGACTAAATTATCAACCTGGTCCTCCGGGATGGGGGTTGGACAAGGAGTTGACAACTTATTACTGAAAGAAAAAAAGTTCCTCATTATGGGAACAGGATCAAATGAAAACACTGCACTGGAGGAAAGAAGTGACACTAGCCAGACAAGTGGCAAAATAATAGCTGGGGATTAAAGCTAAAAGGAAGTCAACAGCAAAACTGTACAACGACAGCTCTCTGACAGACGGCAGATGGGAAAAGAGGACAAGAACGATCTAAGGAAACCTGGATAAGGACAGCAGAAAGAGAAAGGAAGGAATGTAAACTGACATGGGATACCATAGGCAGAAAAGCAACAGGCCAGCAGCAATGGAGATAACCTGTGAATGCCTTTCTCGTCAACAGCGAGATGGAGAGGATACACATAGATAACACCAAGGACGACAACCTGAGGAGATGCCTAAATGCTTATCTGCCAAGATAATTAATATGTTGATCACTGCTAGGATTTAAATATCATTACGAATTTTTTTTTAATAAAATTAATAAAGACAAAATAAAAACAGCAATAAGAAGAATAAATATTGTAAATTTAAAAAGTGGAAACGTAAGATTGATTAATTTCCACATTAATTGCTTGTTTCACCCCAATCTTTTTTTTTTCTTTCATTATTTCTTTCACACACACAACCCTCCCATCAATTTTGATTTGCAGGTACATGGCTAAATTAGAAGGATCCAGATATAAAGCAAATAAATGTTTAGAAAAAATGTCATCACTTTACAAAACATACATTACTTCATTCAACAATGCACAAAACGGATACTCTTCTTCTTCATTCACATTTATAAGGGTGGTTGAAAATTACAGCTAAGATGTGACATCTTTTGGTCTTGCAAATCAATTCCAGCAAATCTTTCATTAGTCATCCTTTATGATATTTTTGGTTACAGGGCAGTGGGCCAGTTCCGTTCCCAAAAGAGGGCCCCAGACCCATATAGGCAAAACCCCACTGTAAACAAAGCACTCTCTGCTGTTCATTAACATTAGGGTTAACTCTTTGAGTCCCAGGGGGTTTAGCATCACAGGCCCAAGGGGTAGTCAAAAGAGATGGAAAATTGGTGCATCTTGCGTTCATTGGGCTTCTAGGTCGGAATACATGAACGTATGAAGCGTTCCTAGGGACAAAGAGTTAATGCTTTTTCTTCTATATGTCGTGTTTCCCAAAAATGAGACCAGGTCTTATATAATTTTTCTCTCCAAAAGACCTCTTAAGGCCTATTTTCATGACCTGTCATGTTTTAATGTCTTTTTTTGTCTAAAATGCTAAATTATAATTTATATTACCATTTATTTAAAGCATTAATCTTAATACTATCAATGATTTTTTTTTTTTATGCATTCATTCCTTTATAATTAAATACGTCTATTGTGTTTCACAGGATGAACGAAATCAAGTCTGACTAATGATCCCAACTAGGGCTCATATTTTGAATAGGGGCTTATATTACAAGTATCGTAAAAATCATGCTAGGGATTATTTTCGGGTTAAGAATTATTTGTTGGGAAAAACATGGCAGTTACGTCAACAAAATATGTGGACACAAACAACAAACTGGACAATTTACTGCCAGGCATATTTAGCTGTATCTCATCAGGTGCATTACTGCAGAGTTACACATATTTAGCTGTATCTCATCAGGTGCGTACTACAGAGTTACACATATTTAGCTGTATCCCATCAGGTGCGTTACTGCAGAGTTACACATATTTAGCTGTATCTCATCAGGTGCGTACTACAGAGTTACACATATTTAGCTGTATCCCATCAGGTGCGTTACTGCAGAGTTACACATATTTAGCTGCATCTCATCAGGTGCGTTACTGCAGAGTTACACATATTTAGCTGTATCTCATCAGGTGCATTACTGCAGAGTTACACATATTTAGCTGTATCTCATCAGGTGCATTACTGCAGAGTTACATATATTTAGCTGTATCTCATCAGGTGCATTACTGCAGAGTTACACATATTTAGCTGTATCTCATCAGGTGCATTACTGCAGAGTTACATCAACATAAAATAAAGCTCAAAACTGAACAAATCCAACTGAAATGCGAATAGTTTCTTTCAACACATTGTGGTGTGTTTTGACCACCGGAGGCTCACCGTAGTCACGTGGCTTACCAGGGTAACTTCAAATTTACTATAAATTCTGTCTGCTTACAAAGGAGGGGATTGCTGATTTTAATTGTCATTGCTTCAGCCATTCTTAACAATCGCCTGTTCGGAGTGTGATAAACCACATGGAAAGCACTGTCTAATTTTCCCCTAATTCATTAGTGGAAAACATTGTTTTGAACAAAATATGCATATATAGAGATCAATAAGTGAGTTCATCAACTTATTGAAATGCTTTGCTGAAACCAGTAGGGACAGAACTTCGGTGGCATCATATGCAACATTTACATATGCGAAGATGGCTGTTTGGTGCATTTTGTAGTTATTATATCATTATCTCTTCCGTCTCCACAACTGACGGTTGGATACAGTCGCACACTGACGTCTTTGGGAATATTATCTGGCGAGGTCAAAATTTTTTCCATGGTGTGACTCTTGTACCACTGTCCAAAAACCACGAGAGATAATCTTTTTATTTTAACCGTCCACCACAGAGAACAAACCCTAGTACTCAAGGATTCTAAAACCGTTAACCTAATTTGCTGACCTCTAGGCCATGGAGCCGCACTTTAGTTAATAATCTATTTCAACACCAAAAACAAATGGAAATCATCACGCCCAATAACTTTTTCACTAGTGAGATTTATTCTACAACTATATTAGAAAGCAGTCATGACATATGACTGAAGATGGCTGCAGAGATTAGAACTAGAACTGCCAGCAAAACTGCCCTATAGCAGGGTGTCCCAAACTTGTCTTAGTCGCGGCGCCTTTTGTTCAATTAAAATTTGTCCACTGTGCCCTAACCTAAGTAAAAGTATGATTATTCGTTTGTAGGAGATCTTAAAAAAAAAAAAAAGCCTGTATCTTCGAATTTTTCACAGCGCCCCTGTTAAGAGGTCGCGGCTCCACACAGTTTGGGAATCACTGGCCTATAGCAAGTTGCAATCCAAAAAAAAAAAAAAAAAAAAGTTTCTTAAAGTGCAACATATAACCTGTGTTTTTAAATGCATTTGAGACACGGAAAATAAGCCAATAAGCGGAAAAAATATTTACTTGCAGTAGAGCTGTGATTTTTCAGAAGAATGCATAGAATATAAAGAAATGATAGAAAAACTTGAGGCAGTCCTACACGAAACAGAAGAAAACTGTAAATAGATTTGAGAAATTAGACGTAGAAAGACAAGTGTCTTTTTGGACATGTTATGAGAAAGAACAGACTCAAGAACTTTGTGACAACTTACAAGACTGATGGAACAAGAGCAAGAAGAAAGGAAAAATATAAATACCTAGATAGTATGGCCATATGGATGGAGCGAAACAAAAGCCTGACCCCATTCATGATTCTGGTAATCCCGTGAGATAACAAAAACATGTCAGCTTACACTTATCGGCAAGGCACATGATGATGACGATGATAACCAATTTTTGTTTGGATTAACTCTTTAACTCCCGAGGGTTTAACATCAAACGTCCAATGGGTAGTAAAGAGAGGGGTAAAACCTGCGCATCGTGCGTTCATTGGGCTTCTATGTAGGGACTTATGATGTATCATGCCCTTCAAGCTCTGGAGGGCAATGAACGCTGCAGAACTGACATAGCCAAGATAATCCTGGATGCCGATCAGCTTATTACCTCATACAACATCAGAATAGTGATGCAGTGGATTCCAGGTCACTCCGGCACACCAGGTAATGACAGAGCTGACAGATTGGCAAAGAAAGGAGCAACACAAGAACAACCACCTACAGCGACAACCCTCCAGACAGCAAAAACACTGATAAGAGCTATAAACAAAGAGACTTGGTTGAACAGATGGGCCATGGGAGACACTGGAAGAGAGGTTTATAGACATATGTCTGGCCCTGATCCTAATGACAGCATTAACCATCTAACAAGAAGGGACCAGGCCACCATCTTCAGACTTAGAACGCAACATACTCCACTCAATGGACACCTAAACAGAATACAGCCACAACACTTCCTAGAGTGCCAGCTATGTAACAAACCCCTACGAAACTGTTGAACACCATCTCTTTGAGTGCCCAAAACTCAGTGAGACAAGAAGAACGCTACTCCCTCCGAGACCAGACAAGTGGAACACCTTGTACGGAGGAAAAGAACAGCTTGTGAAAACATGCAAATTCCACTACATGGCATTGGGCCAAAGGGCGAAAGCTCATGCGCCGCTGGATCGATAACAACAACAACATAATGTATCATGCATTTCTTGGGACTGAAAGAGTTAATACAGGACTACATGGTGAAGTCGGACAATTATAGCTGAACATATTACAGTATCATGGAGAACATATTACAGTATCATGGAGAACATATTACAGTATCATGGAGAACATATTACAGTATCATGGAGAACATACTACAGTATCATGGAGAACATATTACTCACGGAGAAAATATTCTGGTATTACAAATAACATTTATTGTGTGTACTGCAACAACAGGTGGACTACAGAAAGTAGATATTGTGTGTACTGCAACAACAGGTGGACTACAGAAAGTAGATATTGTATGGGTAATTGCTGGGGGGGGGGGGGGGGGGGGGACAGTTTCTCTCTTTCTTCCACCTTTCCCTCTCTCTCTTTCTCTCTTTCTCTCTCTCTCTCTCTCTCTCTCTCTCTCTCTCTCTATGTGTGTGAGTGTGTGTGCATAACCATTTCGCAGCTGACTTCATTAGTAACTCAGAAAATAATTATTTTGCCCACTCCATAAAACAGTTCAGAGACGGTGCAAAACAGTGCCAAACAAATGCAAACCACTACAGTGCTGACCTCCAGCACATACATGCTACTATTGTTACTAAGTTCATGCAAGGATCTACTAACAAGGTTAGTTCTCCCAAACCTGGCCTACTTAATACATGCCATGTCATGTCTTTCATGCGATTTAGTCAAAAAGATATAAATCTGCTTTCAACATTTCTTCTTCTGTTCATTATGCCCCACTGGAGCATAGGCCCTCATAATGTGTCACACTCCCTGGGTAGTTCCAGGGCCCCAATTTAGGGGGAAAAGAACAGCCCCACTAACCCCTAACAAGTACGTCATAAATGGCAACTAATAATGGATTTATTGAAATCCGATTAGCATGATCGAATGGACTGATATCGCAGCCTAGCCACAAACCACAATATAAGGTGCACACTCCCTTTTAAAGCTGAACCCAGAAGAAGAAATGTCACACCAAAATGAGTATAACATTTTGACTGTTCAAAAACATTTCCTGGGGAAATGGAAAGTAGTAGATTTCCCACGTCTTCAATTTCTCACATGCTATAATAAATTTTCTATGGGAAGTTCCATATTCTGTTCAGGCTTTTAAAGGCTGCTGCTGCTTTGGCTATGCATGTCATTTGGTTTTAATCAAGGGCGAAGTAATTCTCATGCTTGGTCACACTAAGTAATCTATTTAGGATAATTTTTCAGGAAAAAGAATCAGTAAATGCAATAATCTATCATAGGTAAAACATTTTACAGTTCAAAAACGTGACCCTTAAAAAAAAAAAAAAAAAGAGAGAGAGAAAGAAAGCAATGCATGACAGATGCAAGCAGAGTTTCATGGCAAAGCATTCAAAAAAGTAAACAGGTTAGTAGTGATGAAAAGCCAAGGCAAAACTCTACTGTTAATGTGAAAGAGGACAATGCAAATCTGCTCAAGCAGAACCTAGACCCAACAAGTGATGATGCAAGATTGTTCATCCAAGTCAATGCACCAAGAAAGCAAGACTGAGATATATTAACTCTTTGAGTCCGGGGGGTTTAGCATCAGAGGCCCAATGGGTAGTCAAAAGAGATGCGTTCATTAAGCCTCTAGGCGGGAACCTATGAATGTATGATGCGTTCCTTGGGACTCAAAGAGTTAATGTCTGAGTGAAATTTTGTTTAGAAAAAAATCAAACAACCAGGTTGTGAGTTATCATTCCATGTTGATAAAATCAAGGCAGGCATCCGCATCCAAAATTTCAAACAACCAGGCTTTGTGAGTCATCATTCCGAGCTGATAAAATGCAGGCAGCCATTCAGACTTATAAATCATGACACCTAACCTGTCTGACGATTGGGCGTTGGAGACAATCGTAGAGGCTCACCTGCGTTTTTGGCTTTGCCTTCTCCTCTAGGAGAAATCTGGCCAGCTACTCCTAAGTTGCTCTGCAAAATTATTGCTGAATTCGGTCTAGCAGGTGTTTCAATCTTTGCAGGACTGGTGCGGTCTGTTGTTTTAGTATTAGCATCAACAGCAATGCTGGTTCCAGTTTTTTCACCTGCAGGGCCATATTTTGTGTGCAGCTGATGATGATCATCCCACATGGCTCGAACTCTGGTCAGGTAGTCAGTGGACTTGCTACCAGCTCCAAGGGAGGTCAGTGCAAAAGCTGTGCTGTATGCATCCTGGTGAAAGCTTTTGTCGACTGGCGTTATGTCCTGGGTGTGATGGGTCCTGGATGTCAGGGACAGATCTACGGGAGATTTCAACATTTCGCTCTGTGGGGATGTAGGTGACCTTGACACTTCACCAGGTTTCGGAGGAGTACCCAGTTGCGACCTTGACAACTTGGTAGATTTATGGCCGCCAGCAATCGTAAACTGTGGTGGAGGGGGTATGATGCATGGGTCAGATCCCCTCTTCAGGGAATGAAAATCTGATTTCTGATTGGGCCTATTCCACAATGGGCCATGATATCCTGTAAAGCCCTCATCTTCTATTCGACTATATGGCAGTGAAGAAATGTTTGGGGTAGACCCCGCAAAGTATCTGGCATGTGGATTGCGAGGTTCCTCGGGAACGCAGGGCTCTGTCTCGACAGACTGCTGAGAACCAGGAGATGGGGACTGTGACATTGATCTGGCAAAGGTAGAGAAAGGAGAGCTCTGTTCTGACACCAAGGGAAGGGTTCGTTTTGATGTTCTTGAGGGTCTTGAAGGAGGAACTGGAGCAGGGTGTTGTTTCCCAAAGGTCAAAACATTATCGGCACTACCTCTCCTGTCAACAGAGCTGAATGTGCTGCCTCTGGTGAAGGTGCCACTTCTGTACAGTGGGTTATAGGGACTGATTGTGTACATAATATTATCATAATCACCAGTGTTGGTTGCACCCAATGGGACATAATGACCATTTCGACGACCACCTGGTGTTAGGGATGCTGAGGTCTGAAAGTCATCTTTACCTGTATGACACAGGTCAGTCTTAATCTTCAGCTCGGATACTGACAGGGTCTCCTGTTTCTCGGAAACAAGAATGTCTTCAACTGAAATATCTGAATCTCCTTTCCCAGGCTTACTTTTCAGAACCTCACCCGCATTTACTGATGGCGGATTTACTCGAAGCTGCTTAAATACATCTCCATTTTTACTGCTATCCTCCACAACAACTTGTATCTCATCTTCCTTTGCAGGTACCAGTTTGTTTTTCTCATCTTTAGTTTCTCTTTCCTTCTCCACAATCTCTTTGGCAGTCTTAACAACTGTGACTTCAGAATTACGGCTAAGTGCCCCGCCAGGCTCTCGGCAAGGCTTAGGCGAGCTGCCATGGCCAGTCATGTGGAAATCAAATGCTGCAGTGGAAGCAAGAGGGGAAGGAAGCAATAGTGCGCATTATTTAAAAACGTGTAAACAAGCTGAAATCGAAATGCAAAAATGAGGTAACATTAAGTCTTATTTAACAGCTATTATTTACGGCTAAGGGCAGAAGAAATATGAATCTGAAATTCAAAACAGTGTTTCCCCAGTGCAAATCTGATCAAAGAAAACACAAACAGATTGCACAATTTACAAACCTGACAATGACACTGTATCTCTTCAGGTGCATACAACAGTAACATAATTAAACAAGATGAAGTAAATAAAAAAAACCTCTCAACGGTAATTTAAAAAAAAAAAAACCATGACTAAATTAACCGCCTGTTACTGCCATTGTATCCAGTTTTATAAGAAAGTGCGCTGGAACCATATCGACCGTGCACTCAGAATGGTTAGGGCACTCAGAATGGTTAAGACAAGACTCCCCCATCAAGCCCTCATAGGGAAACCGAAAGGGAAAAGAAAATGGGAAAGACGCTACGTAGAACCATCATTAGGGAAGGTTTAACAACTGGCATAACAAACATCCAAGACTTAAAGCAGGTGGCAACAAACCACCAGACATGGAGAACTATGACCTCTGCCCTACGCGCCGCCCTAGGCTTAACAGGAAACACTAAGACTAACTAACTGCCGTTGGAACATATTACAGGTAGGCTGCAATATCTGCACGTTCTGACCCAACACATCGGGTTATAGGAAAATCTTAACTACAGTGGAACTCCAACATTCATCATTAATGATTCCTGAGGGGAGGACTAATATTAAAATGGACAAATATCAGACAAGTTTTTCTCATAGAAATTTATTTAAAATGGTTGAATCTGTTCGCAGTGCCGACTTTTGCCTGTCCATTCTTTAACAACAAAAGATTGCACTAGATAATCGATCTCGGAAATCACTGTAAATATATTTTAATTACACATTAACCACTGTACTTGTTATTGCTTCATCATTATGACAGAGATTTACTCATCCTGAGACGTAAATATACTGTATATAGGCTTACCTAAATATTTAAATAAAATTCTAAACATAAATTTACCTTTTGGATTTAAAAACAAACAAAACTGGCTATTGTTTGGAGGGGAAGTCACCTTTTATTATGGCATCAGGTAATGTCAATTTTGGTGACTGATGTACTGGTGATTCAACAGCCTTTCTAGATGATTCACAGCACTCATTTTGTGTGTGTGTGTGTGTGTGTGTGTGTGTGTGTGTAAAAGAAGTCATCCAATATTGTCTGTTTTTATATATATATAAATTTTTCCGAAAGTGTCATATCACACTGTCATTAAATGACAACGATGTTTGGGAACCATTTCTCAATGAAAATCTGCATTTTTGCCCAAGTGGACAACCATTCGTTAATTTCAGTAAGAATCGGCACATCATCTTCTTATTCCTCGCCTGATGACCTGCCGGCCATGTCGGACGAAGGATGAATATTTATTTTTCGGGCAAATATCAAACAACAATTTCAATGAAAGAACAGGACGAATATTTAAAAAGATGAATAATGTAGTGGACAAATATGGGAGTTCCACTGTACTAGCCTTCTATGACATGCCTGTTAAGGCGTAGTTGATTTGTTTCTTCCACACTCCTCCCTCTCCCCCAAATAGGGTCCTGGGATCCACACTGGGAAAACTGTGCAATCTGCTGTTTATTTCTTTTCTTCATTATGCAAATCTCAAATTGTGAACAGTAACCCACAAAAAGTGTCGCTGAATATATTTTAAGTAAGAAGAAACTCCACAGGGGAGCATGTACAGCAGGGATCTACCAATGGTCAGTAGAAGTAATCTCTCGTCGACAAATGTTTTGACTCATGAGCTCCTATACATTTCCAGAGAGTGGGCCCACCTGAGTTCATTCATGAAGCTCATGGTTGGTTTCTCCTGCTGCACGTATTACCGGATGTTAATCGGACAGGGACAAGACGAATTGGTGACTTCGCAAAAGGTACTGTGAGATAAGAAGTCGTTGCGGTAGCATAATTAAAGCAGTCTGCATACTTGGACGACCGAGTGGCAAGCTTACGTTTGGTTTACCGGACACATGTTGGACTTTGTTGGCAGGTGGCAGAGGGACACTGGCAGACAATTCGGACACGATGGACTTTAAGGGATAACACATTCTTTACCACTAGACACCCGCAACAGGTCACCGAGGCCCGTCCCCCATGTTGTTTCGTTGTGTCCAGAGCCAGCTCGAGGCCCTCTCAGGAACCTCACCCAGTTGTTTAAGTGTCCGTTTGCATTCATTACCTCATAAGACTAGTTGTTTTATCACATTGTAGAGTGAAGTGGAAACAAGACCTCTTGCGCCTACTTTAACTGCGAAGATTCGTACTGTGTACGCTTCGTCTCTCCTCAGACCGGCTGCTAAGTCACTGTATTTCTTGAGCTTATACATATGGCTTTCGTCCATTCGCGACTCATACAGCACAGTCAGCTTTTAAACTATAATTTAAGCAGACAATGATAAATTAGCATGTTCACTTTCAGGTTTTAAAGTTGTTCAGAAGTAGGAAACTATTAGTATGAAAAATCCTTACATCCATGACTTTCAAAGAGGTAGAATACACCAAGCAGTCAATGGGGAAAGCCAAATCTTCTTTAATATAAAAGGTTCAAGGTTAAAGGCCATGAGGATCGAATTTACTGCACCGGGTGTTATCTCATATGGCTTAAACTCTCTGGAGAACGGCTAGCCACCTGCCGACAGTGTCAGACAAAGCATACTGCAGCTCCGGCAACGATACCAAGGGGTCGCAGTAAATCGCACTTGTGAAGCGAATGGCACAACCATGAAACAAGCTCATGACCCTCAGAGTGCTAGGCAAATGGCCTGACCACTTTGGTATAAGTCACCTGTTTAGTAGGCTTCGACCAAATATACAACAACAACAACAACAATAAAGGTAGCTCCACAGTTTGAAGTGACAGGCCTTCACATTACCTTTTCTTCCAAAAAAACTGTCTGGAAATGTATCTAATATCCCTGTTTATCAATTTAGGTCCATCTCACAGCTTGTCCCAGAGGATCATAGCTGATGCTCAGATGCAACAACAATGACATTTTAGGTATACTACATCCACAGGGACTAAATATGCGATACAATGTAGGTGACAAATATGTTACCCTAACTAAACTAGAAACACAGAAAAAAACATAAGATGTTTTCGTGTTGACTGAAATACCCAATAATACATGGTGTGTTGTTCGGTAGTTAAAGAGTTAAATAAATATATATATTTTTTTAAACAGAAGATTTCAGCACACACTAGATCAATAATCAATTTTTTTCTATTCCCACTTAGACAACCATACAATATTTTAAGACAGGCTGGCAATAGTTGTTGTTGGTCACTGAAGATGTAGGCAGATAGCAGTACACTGTAACACTTACCACCCGGGAAGAACCAATCAGCATGCGTTACTACAGCTTCGACGATTGCACTCACTGTACCCGTTGTCATCATGTTTGGCCTGGACAAGGAAAACAAACACAAATACTCTGACAAGTTCTTCCATCAGAATAGAAAAAATAAACATATATACTTTTGTCAGATGTGACAAATTCTTAAATCTGGACAAGGAAAGCAAATATATATACTTTGTCAAATGTCACAATTTATTTACTCTGGACAAGGAAAGCAAACATATATACTTTGTCAAATGCCACAATTTATTTACTCTGGACAAGGAAACAAACATATATAGGTTGTCAAATATCAGAAAATTGTTAGTCCTGAAGAAAGAAATCAAACACAAATACTTTTTCAAATGTCAGAAACTTATTAGGCCTGGACTAGGAAAACAAACAGATACTTTTTCAAATGTCAGAAACTTCTTAGGTTTGAGCAAGGAAGACAAACGCAGATACTTTGTCAAATGTCATAAAACTGTCTGGCCTGGATAAAGAGAAGAAACGCCAATACTTTATCAAATATCACAAACTTGGATGCAAACAATTTATAGATTTGTCTTCAAAATGTTAAAATTTGTCTAATTTAGAAAACATTTTTTTTTTCATATTTGTCCCTTTCCTATGAAACATGTTTCAGATTTTGCAGTTCTTGAAAACATTTGTATATGATGATGAAAAAAAACAACTTGCCGATCTATTAAAATCTGCTTCACATGACAGGATTTTTAAAAACTAAAAGCATTATCGGGTTTAAACTCAAGCATGCCCTAGGATGCGTAAGGCAGATATTCCAACCTCCCAGTCACCCACTCCTTTGTTATCTTGATATTACTAACATGTGATGAATTTTTTTGTTGTTGCTGGTGGCACCTTTCCGTCTTTTCAGATGATAGTGTTATACTGTGCTATGAGGAGGCATGGGACTCACAGCCCATGGCGGCCACAAGCGCGACCAGCAAAACCTGTCCGTGCCAAGAACAGTTTTCTACAGACAGAGGATGGGACCCTAGGACTGCCGTTGTCATCAAAAGTATTTATTGTGCTTCTGCCCCACCATACCACAAACCCTGGGCAGTATTGTAGAGATCATATGTTGCCCTTGCATCATGATCTTTCTCTCGGCCTGCCTTGTTCACTCCAAAGGAAAGGTAACAGTATGCGATGACTTATCCTGAACAAATGAAAAAGAATCCCTGTGACGGTTCTGATGCCTCATTTCGGTCAGGAAGTAGGGAGGAGGCATAGACCCACAACTTCTTAACAAAGGAGGAGCGACTGGCCAAACAGTTAAGAATGTTTGCCTCTTATGCGTATGACCCAGGTCTGAATCCTGTGTTTGGGGTGGATGGGGGGGGGGGGGGCTGTCATGTTGTGATTTACAACAAGTCAGTGGAAATATTTACTTTCTCACTCTGAAAAATGCGGTCTATGAAAAATAAATTTTGGATGTAGATGAAGATACTGTGTAAATAAACTTACGTGTTGCTCTGTTCGGACCACAGGAGATTCGGTCCTATCACAATGGCAATGTTGCTGGGCTTCATCTTGTTAATATCACTTTTCTCTGCTAACTTGGACAAAAACTTCACTAAATACCTGCAAGGGGAACATATCAGATATTCATTTTATTGACTTTGTTAGGTTAATATTAACCCACTAACCACCAAGATCTCACGTTATGCGATCTGTCGCGTTTACGCCTAGCTACTATGATTGCACCCCAGGTGATCATAACTTTGGACGCTGGCTGCCATGGTGAAACTGTGACTTCTGAGGTAAATGTAGTTGAAGTATTAGTCCATTAATTTCTCTATGGTTATTTAAGGAAAAGAATTTGGTTTTGCTTAAAGTAAATTTTCCAGGAATCTTTTTCTTGTTAGCTTCCATGTCGATTATGAATTAGGCACATTTTTCATAAATATACTGATTGCTAGGGCTGGCGTGGTGAAATAATTTGGACAATATTTATAATGCAGTAGGGTACTGTCTTGATTGTTTTAAATCGGAAAGTGAAGGTGATGATATTTCTGAATAATTTGATGACTGTCACTTTGATAATTCTTACCAACTGCCATCACTGAAACTGGAAGACAACTTTTAGCTTACAGAAGTGGTGTGGCAGTCGGAGGTAGGTGTGTTATGTTACATTAGTTTTTATGAACTGTTTCACGTATGTGCTTCAGATGTGTATTGTTAGACTTTGTTAGTATAGATTGTGCATATTACAGTTCTGTGGCTTAGAGTTTAGACAAAATCGTTTCACAATGCAATCCTCGGCGTTCACTAGGGTGTCATTCCTGCGATGCACATTCTGGGAAAAGATAATTTTTGTGTGGCTAAGTTTGACAAATCAGTCATATTGTAACATAAGTTCTTGGTGTAAAATGGTGAAACAGCCACTGAATGTGCAGAATTTCATTTCACACTCAGGCAGAGCTCTTATCCAGGACTACTTCAGCCACACACGCACGTCTCCCTGCACACATGCACACACACACACATATTACTAAAATTACTGTGCTGGTCAGAATGTACAGCCACATGACATAAAACAAGATTACATAATTTTTTTATTCTTCAGATTTGTTCTATATTCAATGTGGTACAAAAATGCAAAATATTATGAGTTTATGTTAAAAAACTGTGAAGCTATGACCTTTTTTTTTTCTAAACTGCTGTCAGAAAAGAAAAATGTGGTTATTTTTTTTTTCTCTCAATCTACAGCCACATTATGATGATGTACAAGATTACTCAAATATTTGATATTCTTGTAGACTGTTCTCCAGTCAATTCGGTGCAAAAATTGAAAATATTATGAGTTTATATCAAATAGATGTGAAGCCACAGGATTTTTGTTTGTCTATGTTGCTGTCACCAAAATAAAAATAAAAATTAGGCTGCTTTTTTTTTTCCACCAATGTACAGCCACATGATGATGATGTCAAACAAGATTATGAAATGTTTTCTCCATTCAATTTGGTGCACAAAGCAAAATATTATGAGTTTGACAGTTTTAGCAGACACTAAATAAAACCTGGCATCTGGAAAAGTGCCCGGGTTACCAGGCTTGGTAGCCAGGGTGTTGATCAAAAAAACATCTTTTCTCAAGGTCCTGGAGTGTACTGCATATATGGTGTTGGTGCATGTACATTTTATAAGATGTTGCATCTTGCTGTCTACAGAATGTAAAGTTTTGCTGCATGTATATTTTACAAGATGTTGCATCTTGAGGTCTACTGGATGTATAGTTTTGCTGCATGTATATTTTACAAGATGTTGCGTCTTGTGGTCTAAGGGTTGTCAAGAACTTTTATAGTGAACTCTGGTGTGCGTCAGGGCTGTGTCCTATCCTCACTTCTTTTTATAACATGCATGGATACCATATGTAGCGAAACGAACTTTAATCATGAAGAAGATATTACAGAATTACTTTTCGCCGACAACCAAGTACTCATAGCAGAAAATACGGAATGCCTACAGAACCACCTAAATCAAATTAGTAACAAAGGGGAGGAATACAATATGAAAATAAACACTACGAAGACAGAGACAATGTTGATAGGAAGACATAAAGACAGTTTAGAAATTAAATTAAAAAAACAACACCCTGAGACAAACATAGGAATTTCAGTATTTGGGAGCAATTTTTACACCTGATGGAAAACTGGACAGAGAAATTAGCTCTAGATGTTGACACACTCCTGTCAACACACAAGCAGATACCTCAGAGTACTAAAGTTAATCTTATCAGAACTATTTTTTGGCCAACACTATGCTATCAATGCCAAACGTGGACACTTACATCCTCCAATGAACGTAAAATTGTGACAACAGAGATGAAATGCCTTAGAAGAGCTGCAGGAGTTTCAAGGAAAGACAGAATACGAAATCATGAAATCAGACGAATGCTAGGAATAAAGCCAGTCTTACAGGTCATCAAAGAACAACAAATGAAGTGGTTTGGACACCTAACAAGAATGCCCTGGTACTATCCGCCACACTAAAACGCTACAACGGGTATAGAGCGAGTGGAAGACCTCGGAAAATATGGAGTGATGGCATTAAGAACAGCCTTACAGAAATGAACATCAGTCTTAATAGAGCTCTTGACAGAGCCCATCAACGAACATTACATCTCCCCCCGACACTTCGATGAGGTACAAGGTGGAAGAGAAGAAGAAGAAGAAGATATTTTACAAGATGTCGCAAACCAACCCTTGCATTTGTTGTGGGATTTTGAGTCAATTGTACATTTAGTAAGTAGTTTATCATTGCTTTCTGAATAGTTGGACATCATATCATTGTAAAAATGAATGCAAAGTGATCTGCTGCCAAATCATCTATTGCTGACATTTAACGCTGGCATATTATGCCAGTACTTTAGCTTCCCACATTTCCTGCGTGGGTTCTGGGCCTTATTTTGGGGCATAAAAGAAACAAGACCTACTGCCCCCACCCCTGCTCCTCCCACTGACAAGCATGTCGACTAATTAGGGATTTTTTCTTTGAAGTCAGAACTGCATCTGTCTGAGAGACAAGGAACCAACAGTCTGCGCATAAATGAGTCAGATCTGTAATGTGCAGGCAAAACTCAAGCTCTGGAACAAGACCAAAATCCAGAAGTAGATGAAAAGCTTTTGACCGGAGTTTACAGCAGATGAAAGCAAGGAAGAAGAAGATTTCCTGGCAACTGTTTTAAGCTAAGTCATTCAGTGTGCCCAGGATATATATATATATAATATCCACACTTCAATGGGGATTTGGACATGCAATCATAAGGCTGATAGGCAGGGCTGCGCAAAGATTGTGGTAGCACAACTCTTATTTTAAAATGTAAATAAAATAGCAATCAAAATAAAAGACTTAAATTATTTTTAACCAGGAAATGACATACATTGCAAGAATCTTTACCTTATCAATATAACTTCAAAATATATTCTCTTTCTTATCGTTCTGCATTCATTCATCTTTAAAACGGCAGTTAGCGTGTTGTGGTGTACACCTATGAGCTGATATCTGCACCTTTCATTGTAACACAGTGGGGGGTCAAATGACCCTTTCATATAGGTCATCTAAGGCCATCAGAAAACACATATTCATAGAAGTTATGAAGAAGCAACGCAAATAATTTTATGGTGGGGGGGGGGGGGGGGTGTCCCACCACAATATGAGGAACTGTATTAAAGGGTTGCAGCATTAGGAAGGTTGAGAACCAGTGATGTAACACATCCCATTTCAGCAAATACTTCATTAACCCCCTCTACAACATGCTTGATAAAAGGTAAAGGGTGTGACTTTCCCCCGCTTTTTTTTCTCTTTCAAAACAAACCCACATCAAGTTGCCCCATCACTGAAGATTACATAGCCATGTTAAAACATAAATGACAAATAAACTTGTTAATCTCAGTACATATCAAAATCACACACACACCGAGGAGATATTGCTTTTAATATCCCATATTGCACGACACAGTGCCATAATTTATAAGATAGTAGCTGAATTCCCAAAAATAAAAATAAATGAAAGCAAAAATGTAACTTGCCTAAAGTTGTTGTAGTTTGGTTTTGGAAGTCGGTTAATCACAGCCCATAAAGCCTGCAAGCGCTGATCTTGCGATCTGTTGGAAGATAACAAATGCAACTAATGATAACATTTCCATTTATGTAAGTATGTACAGTAAGAAATATATACATATGCATGTTAGTACACTTCTTTCTGCAGCGAGGCACCTTCCTCACTTGGTGTAACAGGTTAGATTCCTGACAATAACTAAAGATTTTGATTTTTATGTTTTCTATTGTTTCCGCTTATCACTCTACTTCTTTCTATGAGTGCCCATCAGTTCTTGTATATTTGGTTATGATGAAGAGGAAGAAGAAACAGAAAAAAGTAGAACAATAAAACAAGCGTGAGAAAACAAAACAAGAGGAGGAGAAGAAGAAGCAAAACTCTCTAACTATAAGACCAAACAGTAAAGCAGCCAACCAGCTTTTAAAATATACTTCAATACATCAGAAACAACACAAGAGACACACTTACAGTGAAACAGTATGTAAAAAGTCATCATATAATTCATACGTCAGCAAAGGCTCAGGCAGCTCTCTCAAGTACTGCTTCAGAGCACCTGCAGAAAGAGGAAGACAAATGTCACTGCACTGTTACACACATGCATGCACACATGCACCTGTGCACGCACGCACGCACACAAACATTATAGTAAAAAGAAGTTTTATTCTCATCTTGGTCTCCACCGCTGCCGTAGATGTAGTAGAAATTTCACGAAGCAGTGAGCACAACATGAGCCTTCTGTCTTTAAGTTTCTCTTGGATGCCCCATTTCCTAAACCCACCAATGTCTTATATCAGTGGATATCAGGTGACTCTCTAAAGTTTCAGTAGCAAATAAATTTGTACGGGGTGGGGGAGCTGACCCCTGAATTACCGGCTGAGGTGGAGTGGTAGGAGTGTCCTAAGCCAGTTCTTCTTATAGTTAACGCTACCACCACATTAGCGCCCCTTTGGGGTGATAAAGCGGTGACTGGGGGCACGACTTAAGGTTAAAGTTTGGCATGTTGGCAGACCTCCAAGTCTGACTGATAACCTCCACTAACACCCTTATCTTACAGTCTACGTTTCAAGGGAGATAATATAGAAATATAATATTTTCTTTTTTAATCAAGGGATGTAAGAGAAAAAAAATTCAGAGGTATATAACTCCAGTGAAAGTTTACTTTTACTGATTGTCGCAATAAATAAAAGAAATGCACAATAATTTGACTGCCAGTGTGACTGTTAAATTAAACACTGTAGCCATAATGGCCACTGAAAATGTAACCCGTGTATTGGTCATGGCCTGGGAGGAGTTAACAGTTCATTTATAATGAACATACGAAATACAGAAAGGGTTTGTGATTTATACTACATACTACTGGGTTAAAACTACACAGCTGTGACTATTTATTACATTATATCCAATTTCGTCCTTTTTAGAACAAAATTTTTTGTCATTTGAAGCCCTACTCTGGCTTTTGCCAGGGGCGGCAATATAGGCAGGTCATACATATGGCCAAATGTCTGAACGCGGTTTCTGGGACCTCTCCACGGTGATCCTCATCTGCATGGTGGCATTTTGTGTCATCAGGTGTTTATCGCTTGTGTGATGTCCTGGTGGGGTAGAAAGTCAGTTAGTCAGACTATTTATTTATTTACACATATGGATGAACCTGCATAGTACAGCATTAATTAATACAAATATTTAGGTAAAACTACACAATACCAGCATTCATTTACATAAAAACTGTCAGTAAAACTAAACTATGCAGCATTTATTTATTTCAATAGCTGGGTAACACTAAGTCAAAGGAAATAAAAGATCAAAACTTAGCATGATCTGCAGATTTGATGAGGTGCCAAAAACTAAGGAGGACTGCTGATTTCCTTGTCATCTTTGAGACTAGGGCATTGCTCCAGATTAGAAACACTAGTGTCATGTAGAGGCTCCAAGAAAACTGTTGAACAGACACTTACCAGCAACAGTGTGTGGGTCTGTACTGAACTCCTCCATGTCCACAGCATGGGCGTCAAAGGAAGCCTGAAACAAACATTTCACTGACCTGAAGACAATCTAAGCAATTATGCTATCACACTAATCTCTAGTAATGGTGATACTAACTTTCTTCTTCTTCTTCAAGTTCATCGGCTGTAAACTACAATGGAAAATTCTGGGTGTGCATCCTCAGGAGTTTAGTTTGGTTCCAGAGCCTGAGTGTTGCGTGCACATCCATTTTATACATCTGGCTTATTGGTATGCAGACTCTTGGTTCATGCCTCTCAGGCAGATGTACTCCGACTCAGAAGGATGCCACCAAATAGTCTACTCCTACAGCATGCTTAGGAAGGCAAAGGGTCAATTCTTGTTCTCCCCACAGTGGGGTCCCTGAACCACACTGAAGGTGATACAAATAATGTTGGCACCTTTCCGTTTTCCCTGATGATAATGAGATACTGTGCTAGGGGAGGCATGGAAGTCACAACCCATGGCGATGGCAAGGGTGACTAGCAAGATCTCCTAGCAAGACCTGCCAGCATCAAGAAAAGTCTTCCACAATTAGAGCATGGGATTTCAGGACAGTTGTTGCCATGACATGTGTTTAGTGTGCTTGTTCTCAGACGCTCAGATCTCAACCTGCCTGCAATCATTTGTTCCTTTATTCCCAGTCCCACCTTGATTTCCCCATTCCATGTGACAGGGTCCATATCATTTGTTCCCACGAATCCATCTCAATTCTTGTTCTTGCAGGCATCTTTATACTGTAGTGGAGGGGTCCTTACCAATAATAAATCATCATAATAATAATAGCATCATTCGGTCAATGGTCATTCTCTGTGGGTTTTCACTGGCACAGGAAGGGGACAAGTATGGGGAGACCCATGTGCTTTGAAGTTCGAACTGCAGTTTTCTGTTCATTGCTGTTTAGTGTTAATTTTAGAGATCACTTTTGTCGCACATCGGAGATGACCTGAGTATGTCTCCCAAGTGTTTTTTAGCTAACAACTCCTATTCTGTTCTGGTCAATGTAACACAAGGAGGCTCCCGCATGGTTTTCCTGTCTCGGTCTCGCGGCTCCTGTTGGTACACCTGGGGTATGCAGTCTATTCAGTGAAAAATCATGTTCTACAAAACTGAAAGCCTCACGGCATTTAGTTTCTTGTATGGCATTGATGATTTATTTCCTGTCTATAGAGGACCCATTGCTGATATTCGCACTGCCAGCTGGAGTGTCTGCTCTCTCACTGCCTTTCAGCACACCAGCATACAGTTACCTAATACATGACCACGAGATTGGGAGTTATCGTTTGAGGCTACTTTTCAGGCACTCCAGACACACCCATTAGGTGCTAAGATTCTCCTTCTCAACATGTACATCACCTCTCATTGCTAGAACTGCCATTCCTTTGCAGGCTAAGACCTCCTCTCATACATCTGGCTGTGCCAATCTTTCCTCCCAAATCTCTCATTCTTAGCAGCAGTTATGTTATTACAATTGACATCACTGCATATTGGACATCCCTCAATCCTCCGAAGCAGTAGCCACTTAAGATTGTTCTCATGAGAAGTTAGATATAATGTCTCCAATCTCAGCCTCGGAGGCAGCACAGACTTGCTTCAGCATGGTGTATTCCTAAATCGCTAATTCTCAGCAGTGGTCTGGCTGCACTGTCCCCAAAATCTCTAGCTGGACTCTCTCTCTGAGGGCTTTGACAATATTGGCATGAATCACAGGATGGCCAACTGCAAAAATGGTATGAATCACAGAATGGCCAACTGCAATAATGTTGGTATGAATCACAGAATGGCCAACTGCAATAATGTTGGCATGAATCACAGAATGGCCAACTGCAATAATGTTGGCATGAATCACAGGATGGCCAACTGCAACAATGAAATTATGTGTTCAAAGAGCACAAAGCCATAATCAAAGGCTTTTACCAGGAGTAATATAATAAAAGAAATATCATAGCAAGCATAAAAATCTGCTTACCGAACAGTTGTGTATGAGCTGTTCTGTACAGTATAGAGGGAGGAGGAGGAGATGAGAAAGAGAAGAAACTGCTAAAATGACAGAATTACTCCAGAAATACGTCAGATAATGTCATCTGTAACAGAGTGGAGGACTAGAGGGGAGAAGATGCGTACAGAGAGAAGATATGAACAGAAATCTCACACAGCACCCTAAAAGCATCATAATCAGCTCACAGTCGATTCCTCCATTCTGTTCTATCATGTGCAATCAATTCAATTAATGGAATCCAGTCCAGCAGCTTTGGCCTCTCTCATCAACGTCAGTTTCAGGGTTTCTTTTTGGTGTCCTCACTTCCACAATTCCTTTATTTCCCATTATAGTGCCTGTTTTGTGATTTTCTGCTTATTTTTTCTCAGGATGTGTAAAACACAGCACCATCTTCTTTTTCTTATAACTGTTGATACCAGTGCTTGCCCAGACATTTCTCTTATTTCTTCACTGATACTGAATTTATCCCATTTTGTGTTCAACATTTTTTTCTCAAGCATTTGTTTTCAAACGGATTTAACATCTGTTCCATGTCTTTACACCCTAAAGCATAGGATCTATCAGATGAGTGTCGAGCTAAGAACTGACATCACAGCACTCAGGTCTGTACATTCCCAACACACCTGCATTCTCCTTTAGATAAGAGCAACAACAAAAAAAGAAAGCTACGTACTGGTTTTAAAAAAATCAACCATAAGTGGGAAGTCATAAAGAGTCAGCAGTGAAGGTTGCTGCCCTGGCGACAATTTAAAAACCAGGACACCTGACCGGGAAGTTGGAACAGAGATCCTAATCCTAGAGCCATCAAAATGAACAATTTAGAAACACATACATATTTTAAAAGCTGACATCTACCTACCTTCAATTTTTTTAGCTTTGCTGCAGAACCAGCAATTCTAAACAATCCCTGAAACAAATTCACAAAATTAAATATAAATAATTTTTGTTCTTTAATTTTTTTTCAGACTAGTGGTTCATCAACTGTTCTATATTTTTTTTTTTTTTTGACCACTCATTCAGACTGAAAATAAACAATTAGGTGGGTAGTTAAGTAAACACATAGTTAGGTATGTTAACAGGTAGGTAGGAAAAACCAGTTAGGTTGTTAAGTAAATAAACATATACATAGGTAAATAAACATATCATCATTATCAGGTTGGCGTGGGCAATCATGCCTCTCCACAATCTGTGATCTCCTGCAGCATGTATCAGTTTGTGTGCTGACACACCTCCATGCCATGCAACAAGACTGTCAAGAATCTTCTCTCATTATCTTCCTCTATCCCTCCTTCCACAGATCTTTCCAGTGGTCACAACATGTTCCATTTTCCTCCTTCTCATAACATAGTTGAAAAATGATGACGGTCTCTGTGATAAGTAGTCTTTGGGCTCATGCCTCTTTCAAAACCTCTTGGTTGCTCTTTTTGGCTGTCCAAGGTATTATAAGCATTCTTCTGTAAAACCACATCTCTGAAGCCTCAAGAAAATAAACATATATGTAGGTAAATAAACATACAGGTAGGTAAAAAAAATGGTAGGCGGGTAATTAATAGGTAGGTAGATAAATAAATAGCTAGGCAATTAAGTAGGTGCTAGTTTGTTGATGATATTTCTATTCTATCCCACTCACGGAATCAGATGCAAGATAAATTAAATATACTTGATGTGAGATCACAACAATTAGATCTAAAACTCCATAAGGGAAAGACAATGAGAATAAACTAGACAAACTGTCATCTTGCCTCTCTTAATGTTATCTAACTCCAGGATGTGGAGTCATGTATTTATTTGGACAGTAATGTGGAGTAAGATGGCAAAACTGACAGAGACATTTAAACACGAATACAAAAGTCAAGAGCTTTCATAGCACTAGGACATCTGCGGAGGTCAAGAGAAATTAAAATACTAAACTTTTTTTTTTTAAATTTTTATATCCAGAAACCATGAGTTGTTAACTCCTTGGCTCGGTACTATGGATATCGCAACCCTTCGGCCTTGATTCCATGATAGGTACCGTTAATCTGGGAGAAAATGTGGCTTTTCTGCCAACCCCCGGGAGTGAACCCAGACCACAAGGAGTTCGTCACCCGGTCACCAGGATGTCAGGTTTAACCAACTACGCTAGAGAGCCGGGCAAATACTAAACTTAAAATGTCTAAGCCACAGCAGCTAACAACAGCGACAAAAAAAAATGAAAAGTTTACCTCTTCTTCCATACCCGTCTCCAACAGGGTTATAATGCAGGCTTCTAAGACTAAGGCAATGTCGCGGCACATGAGTCGGAGATGCTCTTCCAGAGGCATCCCATAGCAAGGTTTGGCTGGAGAGTTTTCTGCAGATACACACAACCCAGACAACAGATGATTTCATTTCAGTCTTCCGGACGTAAACACTAGTTAAGTAAAGGTCCCTTTTTTAAGTCAGCGGTGCATCAGCAATGTGTTGCTGGATTTGTATTTTGTATAGATAGATCTATTGGCACTTGAAGTGTGATGTGGTGGTCAACATCACGTTGGTTGCCTTTACTTCCCAGGACATAAGCTGGCACCAATTTCATGCCAGGCTGACCCATGAGCCAAGGTCTGTTTTCTTTTTCAATATGCAGATATCAATATTTTAAAAAACCAAATTCCATTACATGATGTATTAAAATAATGGACAGATATAAGACCAAACAAAAAGTAGATCAGCGGGCTTCACAAAATGACGAATACAAAAGGAAAAAGTGAACGCTGTAGCTACAAAGCCTTCATCAGTACATTACATAAATCAAACGAAACCACACAAATACACAAAATCACTTAACTGATGAAGCCTGATGCAGCTATGTTGATGTCTTGCCAATGGAATGGACTTAATAAGAATAATCAGTCAGCACACTAACTTTCTGTACCAGTGGAGGAAGGTTCAAACCCTTATTATAAGCCTTGAGAGTGAACAGTGTAGAGAAGCACAAACAGATCATTATGGTCTGAGGAAAATAACACTGTGAGGATTACTAGGGAATCTGAACACTCTGCGCTTGCTGCTGAATATAGGTAGGGAGCAATTATGGAAGTGTCCAGAGTGCCTACTACCCGAGTACCTAATGACCTGTTTATTTACCCCCCCCCCCCCCCCCCAACCCCGCAAAGGGGCCTGTCCAGACATGATGAAGTTGGATTATACCCCACAAGGCAAATGCAATTAGATCCTTCAGACGAATGATGAAGTAGAAGAAACAGGTACTGTAGTTACCTAACTTTACAGCACGTATTCCCATTTCTAGCATAAGCTGGGAGGTTCTTAACTCTTTTGGTACCAGAAAGATAATATTTAACACTTCCTGTCCCTTCCTGTCATACTGGACAAGACAGACATTACAAAGACCATTCATGAATTAATATAGAGGAAAAATGTGACGTTAGATGAATTTAAAATTAAGTGTGGATCTATCAAAATGTGATGTCAGAGGGGGGAGATTATGACATGTATACAGCCAGTGTGCTTCTGGGTAATAACAGTTCTGACGAAATCCCTCCATGGTAAATCATTTAGCACATATATGCCTAGTAAATCCCTGTATGCAATTATATCCTTCAGCACAAGAAAGTAACACTTACTTATTGCTAGCCTCATCTGTGGTAGACAGTCTTCTATCAGCTCCAGAGCTTTCTTGTGATAGCTGCACTGTGACTCCAAGAACTGAAGATAAATATGAAGGAGAAAAAAACTGACTGGCTTAGCCAAACTTTCCCATGTGGTGGTCTGCAGAACTAATTTAAGTGGTTGACTTAGCCATAATTTCCCACACGATGATCTGCAGAACTAATTTAAGTGGTTGACTTAGCCATAATTTCTCACATGATGATCTGCAGAACTAATTTAAGTGGTTGACTTAGCCATAATTCCTCACATGATGGTCTGCAGAACTAATTTAAGTGGTTAACTTAGCCATAATTTCTCACATGATGATCTGCAGAACTAATTTAAGTGGTTGACTTAGCTATAATTTCCCACATGATGATCTGCAGAACTAATTTAAGTGGTTCTTGATATCATTTACAACAATAAAAAATAAATCTCAACTTGACACTGCAATCATTTTTTTGTGATTCTAATATTTGTATAGAAGCTTGTTTAGAAACATTAAATATTTTGGCCATATCAAGCCAAATTCCAGATTTGCAAAAATAACAGCAGAAGGCAAGGTACCAGGAAAGAGGGGCAGGGTCGGACCAGAACGAAGGTGTGCAAAGGATGCAAGTGACTTCAAGGGTAGGAAAATAAACAAGGTAGAACAGCTGGAGAGAGCCCGAGATTCTTTCAGTGACGTTCTGCAAAGGACCTGCTACATGATGATGATGATGATGATATAGACAGAAATTAAACTTACTTTTAACAAAGTGGTGCTGTGGTCACATTCTTTGGCAGCAAAATGGCACAGTTCTATAGACAAGCTGTCCTGTGGATGATAAATGTACACAAGTATGTATGCTGTGCAATTAACTGTATATACAAATCAAATACAGTTAGCATCAATAAAATGTTACCTTGCTTTAGCTTAATTTTTTTTCATTTTTCATTTGTTTATATACTAAAGTATTATTTAAAATAGTTACAGCAAAACTGTTTAGAAGCTGTGTTAAGAACTGACATCACAACACTTAAGACATTTCCATAAGTGCTCCGTTCTCATCTTCAGCAGCTGATGATACCAGAAAGCAGTCTGATTGTATATCTGTCTATTTCCAAGTATGATTTTATTCACATTATTATTATAAATTATAATTGTCATCTATTCAATAATGTATGAATGGAAAGTGGTATGAAAAGAGTGAGGCCAAAAAGCAAAAAAAAAATATCAGCCAGGCCAGCATGCCTAACTAACAACACTTTAAAAATAAAGTCTGTTTGCTTGTCCATTCATTTGTTTGTTCATTCATCATTACTTCCTGTCTTTCCTCTGAGCATTAGCCAGATACCCTGGTCACTCCAAGTTTCACCATTCTCTTCAGACCAAGTTTAAAAATTTGTGTTTCCAAACTATTTTGGTATTACACTCAGTATTGAAAATACCCTTTTTCAAACCAATGGTGCTGAGGCTAAGCACACATAAAATTAAGAAAACACTATTACAATTCAAAGACTTTCTTGTTCTTGTTTAATAAACTAAACACAGATATTGATTATTGCAACTGTGAAAAAAGTAAAAAAAAAAGTGTTTCAAAACAATTTACTGTATTTGTTTTGCACATAAGTAAAACACGGAAACAGTACTACACAGTACTCTACCTTGATAGTTTCCATTTTGAGAGTTGCCTCCTCATACTCTTCCTTGATGACATCAGCCTTGGCTGCTGCATTGGCCATGTTAGCACCAGGGACCTGAGACTGCCGCACTACCTGATTCAGTCTGATGACAATAGGACAGCCCATTTTTTTCAATTACTTCCAACTTAAATAAACATATAAGGAAAAATGTGAATATGATATACTCCAAACCTAGTTCTAGCCTCAATATATTCCAATACACAAAAATATGATGAAGTTTACAAAGCTCTGTAAGCAACAATAGAATTATATCTTTAATTGCTGCTAAAATGTGAGAAACAGTTCAAGGTTATTTTTCTTTTAATGGAAAACAAATAGACGCATGGGAGAAAAAGAATTGTGATGTCTCCAAAACATATCAGAAATCATTAGCGCTGTTCTCTCATGTCCTATGCATTTATATCTATGATAATTTTGATAATGACAAATGCACTAACTAATGGCAACATCTGATTCAGAGATATTCAATCACAAAGGTGATGTAAATAAAAATCATAAGTAGGATTACATCATGAGCTTCCAGTTACACTTGTACTGGTCATTCTTAAATCAGAACAAAAATTAGGTAATCCTTCGCATAATTGTGTCATATATACAAAATGACCATAATTCAATAAACTGGTAGAACATATCTTGAAAACTAGAGCCAATCTTCCTCTTCTTTACTTCCTCTTTCACTGCTTCGGGTGTCGAGGGAGATTTAAGGTTCCGCTTCCTGCTTGACTAGCTGTGTCGATCATATACATCATACTGCTGTATGGTTTCTCAGATGTTATCCTTCCATTTGTTCTTGGTCTGCCTCATGCTTTAAACTCTTCTCTTTTTTGGGGGGATATACCTTATATGGTATGACATCACATGACATTCTCTTTAAGTGTGCAAAACCATTTGATTTGCCGTTTTTGTATGTAATTTAGAACTGGTTCTGTGCCGACTAGAGCCAATCAATATATTTTAATTTAATTTTTATTTCCAACACACTAAAATTACTTAAAATTAACTATTTTCATTTTTGGTACATTTTGGCTGTAGAGATGTGTAATCACTCTGCTCCCTACTGACAGCAAAAGTCAGGTGCCATTTTAAATTGGTGCACTGGATGCTGCAGAAGTGCATCACCACCTGCTGTGGTGCTCCAAGACCAGGGTTCATTCTGGTGAAGACTTATCTACACCTCTACATGGGTATCACAGACCTATCTACACGGGTATCACAGACCTATCTATACCTCTACATGGGTATCACAGACCTATCTACACATCTACATGGGAATCACAGACCTATCTACACCTCTACATGGGTATCACAGAAATGGGTTTCTTTTCAGGGACCAGGCTAGTGTGGATAGGGTCGACATTTCCTTTAAAGTGGACTGTATTGCATACAGTTAGCCATGATTGTATTGCATACAGTTAGCCATGATTGTATTGCATACAGTTAGCCATGATTGTATTGCACACAGTTAGCCATGATTGTATTGCATACAGTAAGCCATGATTGTATTGCAAACAGTAAGCCATGATTGTATTGCATACAGTAAGCCATGATTGTATTGCATACAGTAAGCCATGATTGTATTGCATACAGTAAGCCATGATTGTATTGCAAACAGTAAGCCATGATTGTACTGCATACAGTAAGCCATGATTGTATTGCATACAGTAAGCCATGATTGTATTGCAAACAGTAAGCCATGATTGTACTGCATACAGTAAGCCATGATTGTATTGCATTCAAGAAGCCATGATTGTATTGCTTACAGTTAGCCATGATTGTATTGCATACAGTTAGCCATGATTGTATTGCATACATTTAGCTATGATTGTATTGCATACAGTTAGCCATGATTGTATTGCATACAGTTAGCCATGATTTTATTGCATACAGTTAGCCATGATTGTATTGCATACAGTAAGCCGTGATTGTATTGCAAACAGTAAGCCATGATTGTATTGCATACAGTAAGCCATGATTGTATTGCATACAGTAAGCCATGATTGTATTGCATACAGTAAGCCATGATTGTATTGCAGACAGTAAGCCATGATTGTATTGCATACAGTAAGCCATGATTGTATTGCAGACAGTAAGCCATGATTGTATTGCATACAGTAAGCCATATCTTAAGTGACTCAAGAACATAACTGGCTGCCTACATCAGAAGGAGAAGACAATCTAAATTCTTTGTTTATATTATGAGGAGAAAACTAGAGTACATCGTGATGGCGGGAGAGTTGGAGGGAAAAAAAGAGGCAGAGGGAGAGTAAGGAAAAAAAAAGATGCTGGACAGATGACATCATGGCATGTAGGAAGCTGTGTGGTCTCATGGCATTGTGTCCACCTCGAGTGCTGGAGGTTCTGGGTTCAATCCCCGGTAAGGGCTGGGATTTTTTCCCGTCGACTTGGACTTCTAGTAATTCCCCCTGGTCTCTGGGTAGTGAAATCGGACGCCCATGTGCATTGTTGCGCACATAAAATTCCCTTGGCAGTTGGAAATCAAAAAGAGTAGCCTTACGGAACTGCCCAGGCAAAAATTTGGAGTGAAAAATCTACCCTAAGTTTTTCAGGATCCTCACCGGTGCTAAAGAGCCTGTGCACTGTGCTGAGCTTCTTCAGACTCAGACTTGAGTTAGAAGAAAAACGGAGCACTTATGGGTTACACCCGTGTGCCATGATGATCCGTTGTTCAAACCTCAAACCTCATGGGGTATTATCTGTGGCAGAAATGACTGAAAGGTGAGACAGAAGAATACGTATAAATATAACCCCCAAAGCTACAACACAACATGGACAATAAGAAGAAATCTGACAAAGAAAAAAAGAAACATTCATGTGAATGCAACATTCAAGTCTTGAATCAAGACCAGATTTCACACAGAAGACCAACCAAGACTTTTCAGCTGATGGTAAATGCAGAAAAAGAAGAAGATATTGGTGCAGGCCACAGACAAGTCTGACTGAGTAACAGGATTAACCCACCTGGTTTTGGCTGAGTCCATGTCAAGGATTGACTTACTCAGAGCTTTTCTGAACTTCATTATGCTGGGAATATCAACCTGGAACCCAGACAACAGTACATCATGTTATACACATACACAATACAGATTTCTACATTACATAACTAAATTCCAATTATACACAATTAGTTATATGAGGTGTTCATGAACTCGTTCATTCCTATCCAACGCTGTGTGCTATTTGTTATTACTCATGTGTATCACCACAACACAATATCTGTTATATCTGTCATGTTAGGTCTGTGTGTGTGAAAGAAATATGGCTAACTATTTTACTATGCATCACAACGTATGTTGTGTTTTCGAAATGAAAGTAACACACTGATATGTCGATGTTGTGGTTACCGACTGGGTTTCTGCGGTGAAATTATCTGGGAGTGAAAGAGTTGACAAATTAACTGACTGAGTGTGTAGATTAAAAGATATAAGCTCTACAGCCACACCTCCAACACCAGCGGAGATGTATATTTGTACTCAGACTTCAGCAGAGCAGTATATTTGTACTCAGACTTCAGCCGAGCAGTATATTTGTACTCAAGACTTCAGCAGAGCAGTATATTTGTACTCAGACTTCAGCAGATTGTACTCAGACTTCAGCAGAGCAGTATATTTGTACTCAGACTTCAGCAGAGCAGTATATTTGTACTCAGACTTCAGCAGAACAGTATATTTGTACTCAGACGTCAGCAGAGCAGTATATTTGTACTCAGACTTCAGCGGAGCAGTATATTTGTACTCAGACTTCAGCGGAGCAGTGTATTTGTAATCAGACTTCAGCGGAGCAGTATATTTGTAATCAGACTTCAGCGGAGCAGTATATTTGTACTCAGACTTCAGCAGAGCAGTAAATTTCTACTCAGACTTCAGCAGAGCAGTATATTTGTACTCAGGCTTCAGCATAGCAGTATATTTGTACTCAGACTTCAGCAGAGCAGTATATTTGTACTCAGACTTCAGCAGAACAGTATATTTGTACTCAGACGTCAGCGGAGCAGTATATTTGTACTCAGACTTCAGCGGAGCAGTATATTTGTACTCAGACTTCAGCGGAGCAGTGTATTTGTATTCAGACTTCAGCGGAGCAGTATATTTGTAATCAGACTTCAGCGGAGCCGTATATTTGTACTCAGACTTCAGTGAAGACTTTCAACCCAAGCACTGATTTGTAGATTAGTTAATTTAAAAATAATTTTTAAAAAAGTTGTCAGTCTCATTATCTTTTCAGAAACACCTCATATAGCTAATCAAAATTATGTTACATGATTACAACACATGAAAAGCAGTAAAAAATAACACAACATTACATAATTATAACAAACAAACCGCAACTTTAAAAAAAAAAAATATGATAATATAATTTTTAAAGCTGACAACATATAAATGATTACACATGAATGTAGATATTTCATACAACATTGAAACAAATATATAAAATACAACATGTATAAGAAATAGACAAGGGTCAAACACTAGAAAGCAAAAATTATGACAAAAATCAACAATGAATATGTGAATATACTTTTTAAATCTCACTTCCACATATTTTTTTTCTTTCTATTCACAACGTCCGGTCTTATATGGCTCCACCTATTTCTGGTAGAGACATTTCTCAATGCTATAATGTTAAATTGTCTAGTATAGTCTGTGTAGGCTTTCCCTTGCCTCCCCTCCCTTCCAACTCATCCTTTGACACAATGCTGTCCAGTTTACTCTTCATGATGGGTCCCTAGGATGTGGACAGTCTACCTCAGATATTAGAAAGCAGTTCTCCTTGTCCCATCAGGCAGCATTTCAGAAAAGGAGAAACATCTTATGCAATCCAGAAATGTCATAATCTGCCTTAGCTACCTTCTCCTCCTCCTGCAATTTGCCACATATTTATTCATCAGCATGGTGCTCCTTGGGAGCCCTGGCAACATAGTAACTCCACAGTAACCACATACATCAGAGTGCCAACTGATCTATAAAATCTATCTTGTGGTGCAGTTTATACAGTGGTTATATAAATATATATAAATATAAAACAAATGTCCAGCCCAACATATTTGTTACATACAACATATTTAACTGGCAGTGGTTATGAAAAGCAATGGTTCCCAAAGCATGCACGCACGCACAAACCCATCCACCTATCATATGGCATTCTGAAATCAATATCAGTATCATGATACTGGAGTAGCTGTTTGCCTTAACCACCTATATTTACCACCATTTAGGGGACACTGAGCCTGAGCATTTAAGCCTCATAGCTGGTGTAGAAAGGTAAAGTCAGGAGATGTGAACCAGCGTCATTGAACAAGGTTATAAACCATAAGTGCTCTGCCTCTGGTATGGAGAGCTGATAAGAAACTGTCCGCCTCTGTCGCCGTTCGCACGCAACTTCATAGCTACAGCGACGTTCCTCCATTTACCCCAGAGTGTTAACTCTGGTACCCATTTCCTAGAGGCTGGGTCAACCCCGGAAACCACCCGGTTTCGAACACCGGCCGTGGACTGCACCGAGTCGCAGCTGGATTTGAAAGCGAGTCTCTTATCGCGGCCCCGGCTAGTTGTACTGGCCACAAACTGTGCAGGTTAGGATTTTTATTTCTGCCCTGATATCTTCTTCTTCTTCTTCGCGTTCAACAGCTGTAAACTCTGGCGGAAGGTTCTGGTTGCTCGTCTACTACTAAACTGCAGTCCTGCTCCAGAACCTGAGTGTTGCGTGTGCATCAGTTTTACAGATCTCATTCTCTTGAATACAGACTGTTGGTTCCTTGCCTCTCCGGCAGACACACTCCGTCTTCAAAGGAAGCTCCCCAATTAGTTGACTCTTACAACATGCTTTTGGGGAGGCAGTGGGTCTATTCTTGTTTTCCCCACAATGGGGCCCCGGAACCCACACAGGGGTGCCCTGATATGAAAAACATCACTTTAAGATAAGAGTAAACACAGGATGTGTGAAATCAAAAGCAGGATAGATCTTAATGGAGGAAGATGATATAATAATTAGACGGAATCAATACATTAGAGAGTTATATGATGAAAAGCAAGCAGAATTACCAGAAGAAACAAATTTAGAAGGTCCACCTATACTAAAGGAAGAAGTTAGTGATGCTATAAAACATATGAAGAAAGAAAATTCAGCCAGGCCAGATACAATTTCGGTTGAAGAATTAGAAGTGCTGAGGGAATATGGGATAGAAATATTAACTAAACTGATGAATGACATTTATAACACTGGGTACATACAAAGTGATATGATGAAATCTGTATTTATTGCTTTACTCAAAAGACCAGGAGCAATTGAGTGTGAAGAATGTTGTATTATCAACTTAATAAATCATGTCACCAAAAACTACTTACAGTTATAAGAATGAGAATAAGAAGAAAAACAAGAATGGAAATGAGTAAAGAGTAGTATGGATTTATGGAAGGTAAAGGGACAAATAATGCAATATTCTTCTTCTTCTTCTTCTTCTGCCTTTTTATCCCCCAATGGAGCATAGGCCCTCAACCAGCTTACGCCAAGTCGTTCTATCCTTCGCCATTACTTATTTGCTTCTCTTTTTGACTTATCCATGGTTGGTTGGTTTTTGTGGCTATGGTTTTTACAGGATGAGGTAGCCAACCTCACGCCCAACCCTACCCTTAGTCGCCTTTTACGACATGCCTGGTAGGGTGCAGTGTCACTATTCTTTGCTTCCCGTGAGGGCCCCGGTGACACACGGGCGAATAATGCAATATACATATTACAAACTCTGATAGAAAGATTAAAGGACATACAAAAAAAAAATTATGCTTTATAGATTATACCAAAGCCTTTGACAAAGTTAAACATGAGGAGATGACAAAAATGTAGGAAGACATCAATGTAAATGGAAAAGATTTCAGAATAATAAAAAATATTTACTGGAACCAAGTAACAACAATTAAAGTGGGAAACAGATTGGCTACTTTTGAACAGATAAAGCAAGGAGTAAGACAGGGATGTTTCTTATCGCCAGATCTTTTCTCTCTTTACAGTGAAGTAATTTTGAGGGAAATTAAAGAGAATGCAGGAATAAGAGTTGGAGGATACAATATAAACAATTTGCGTTATGAAGATGATACAGTTTTGATAACTGAAAATGCAACTGATTTACAACTGCTGCTGGATATTGTGGAGATGGAGAGTACTAAGAAAGGACTTTCCTTGAATATTAAGAAAATGGAAGTAATGATAATTTCAAAGAAGATAAGACCACACTGTGATATCTCAATTGAAGGAAAAAGACTCAACTAAGTCAATAAATTAAAATATCTAGGAACAGTCAAATCATCAGATGGAAAATGTGTGACAGAGATTAAAAGTGGAAGAGGTCAACGAAGGCACCATTTCAGAAAAGGATAAATATATTATGCAATAAGTCGCTCTCATTTAATGTGTAGAAAGAGAATGCTAAAATGTTACATAGAACCTGTTCTGCTATATGGCAGTGAATCTTGGAATGTCAGTAAACAAATTAAGAAGACTTTGGAAGCAACAGAGATGTGGTTTCTGAGATGAATAATACGAATACCTTGGACAGCCAAAGTAACTAACAAAGATTGTTTCAAAGAAGCTAATGAAAGTAGATCTCTATATACAACAATAAGAAAGAGACAAACACTGTTCTTTGACCACGTAATGAGAAGAGAAGCATTAGAAAACATCAGGACAACAAGAAAGATCAGTGGAAACAGGGGCAGAGGCAAACCAAGAGAGATGATGCCGGATGGGCTGAAATGATGATATTGAGGGATATCGTCGAGAGAGCTGTTCCAGGCAACCAGGGATCATGATCTGTGGAGATGCATAAGTGCCTAGGCCAGTTGGCAGGGCACATGATGACGATGATAATTACTTTAAAAAGGATCTGAAACTGGATCTCCCAAATGAGAACCCAATACTCTAATATTACAGTGAATACGACTAATTAACACAGTGAGCAAAACTGCATTAGATAATTTATATATATATATATATATATATATATATATATATATATATATATATATATATATATATATATATATAT